ACAGCTAAGACTACATAGAGAGACCCTGTCTACAGTTAAAAAGAAAATTAAAACAACTCTTGGGTTAGTGATTTAGAAAGGGGATGCAAATTGCTTGGGATTCTGAGAAATATCACTTTGTGGCCTGAATCTGGCTACACTTACATCCGCATAGTAAGACTATCCATGCCGGGTGGTGGTGGCACACACCTTTAATCCCAGCACTTGGGAGGCAGAGGCAGGTGGATCTCTGTGAGTTCCAGACCAGTCTTGTCTACAAGAGCTAGTTCCAGGACAGCCTCCAAAGCCACAGAGAAACCCTGTCTCGAAAAACCCCAAAACAAATAACAAAAAAAGACTATCCACACATTGTGTGCTTTTCTCTTTTTAATTTTAAACTTGTTTTTAGTCAATACAGCTGTCATACCAGGCTGGGACTCAGATCAGTGCATTGCTCAGCCCTCATGAGAGAAGCTTCTTCTTGCAGTCTGTGAAATTAACACATAGGCCCACAGCTGAACAATGTGCAGAGAGTGAGAGACTTGGGAGCACTCAGCCCTAAATGGGATGTCTGTATCAAACTCCTCCCCTGAAGGCTCGGGGATCTATGCATGAGAAAAGCCAGGAAGACTGTAAGAGTCAGAGGTGATGGATGACTTCAAAGAAACAGCCTCTTCCAGACACAACAGGACTGATGAATATATGAACTCACAGAGACTATGATAATTTGCACAAGACCTGCACAGGTTCAAGTTTAGTGGTCTAGCCACTAAGAAGGGAAAATGGACACTGTCTTAGTTAAGGTCTTATTGCTGTGAAGAGAGGCCATGACCATGGCAACTCCTATAAAGGAAAACATTTAATTGGGGCTGACTTACAGGTGCAGAGGTTTAGTCCATTGTATTCATGTCAGGAAGCATGGTGGCATGTAGGCAGACATGACACTAGAGAGGTAGCTGAGAGTCCTACATTGAGATCAGCAGGAAGCAGGAAGAGAGAGACATTGGGTCTGATTTGAGCATTTGAAACCTCAACATCCAACCCTAGTGACATACTTCCTCCAACAAGGGCACACCCACATTAACAAGGCCACACCTCCTAATAGTGCCATTCTCTATGGGCCTATGAGAGCCATTTTCATTCAAACCATCATAGGCACAAAGTCCCAACCTTAACCAAGGTGCTCTTTGCAATAGATACCTTTTAAAGAGGAAATTAATTTTCTCCAATGAAGTGTCACTGCTCTGTACTCCAGAGCAGGCCCAATGCCCAAGAATATTTGGCCAACAAAAAAAGGACTCCATGTTTTTGGTGTAATTTTTGCTTTGTTTTAGGGTGGTTTTTTTTTTTTTTTTGTCTTGTTTTCTGGTTTTTAGTTTGTCTGCACTGGTTTTCATTTTTGTTGTTGTTTTCTTGTTTATTTTAGAGAGAAAGAGATGTCGAGAGTAGGTAGGTAAGTGGAGAGCATCTGGGAGGAGTTGTGGGAGGGCAAAGTATATGATCAAAATATATGAAAAAATGAATAAAAGTCTTTAAAAAATGGTTTTAGCCTTCTGAGATGCTGGAAATTGAACAGAGGACTTCATACATGATAAGTATATGCTGTGTTTCTTAGTACATTCCCAGTTCTGTGTACTGATGTGTGAGGGAGTAAAGGGTGGCATAACAGCCAATACACCTTTTCTCTAAGACCTAGAACTTACCTAGGGAAACTTCAAGTTTACTTCCTCCCAGCACCAGTCCTTTGTAAGTGACCCAATTTAAGACAGAACTGAAATGCTGGGTTCCAGACCACACATTTGTTGCATACCTTGTGGATCCTAAGAAGTGTTAGGTAACAGAAGGACTGGAGACCAGTGAACTATCAGCCTACATGGCAAGTGGAAAACCAAGGAAGGGGAGTTCTTCATTTCTTCAAGGTGAACACCACATGGCATGTTTCTAAACCCAGAAATCATGCATGCTCTCTGGGCAGCTGAGAACAAGAGTTGGTTGGCTTCATGGAGACTGGGTGAACATTCACAGACACAAGGGGATATGCATGCTGTAGTCTCTGGTATGTATCCTTCTATAGAACCACAAAATCCTGGTGCTAGATTAAATATGTCTTGTGAGTTTGTTTGTCAGTCTGGTGGGAGTGAAAACTCATACAGCCACTATGAAAATCAGTATGGCAGTTCCTCAGAAAGTTGGGAGTCAATCTACCTCAAGATTCATCTATAACATTCTGAGGCATATACCCAAAGGATGCTTCATCCTACCACAAGGACACTTGTTCAACCATGTTCATTGTTGCTCTATTCATAATAGCCAGAAACTGGAAACCACCTAGGTCTCCCTCAACAGAAGAATGGATAAAGAAAATATGGTACATTTATACAATGGAATATTAGTCAGCTGTTTTAAAATGACATAATGAAATCTATAAGCAAATGTATGGAACTAAAAAAAATGATCCTGAGTGAAGTAACTCAGACCCAGAAAGATAAATATGGTATGTATTTATTACATGTGAATATTAGCCATTAAATAAGTGATAACCAGGCTACAATCCATAGACCCAAAGAGGTTAGGTCTAGAGGAAGGGGACACATGAATCTCCCTGGGAGGGATACATAGATTTTATGGGTAGAGTGGGGGTAGGCAGTCAGGAACAGGAGAATCATGTGGGGAGGGGAAAGAAAGGTGGGGTTGATGGAGGGAATGCAGGGAGAGACAGCTAGAATACTGCTTGGGTGACCAAGAATCAGAGACTAGATAGCCCAGAGACCTAGAATAAAACCAAATGCTACTGATCTAAAAAAAAAAAGTTAACAATAAAATAACTCCTCATGATATTCTGCTATACTTTAGATCAGTGTCTTATCCAGCCATAATCAGAGAGGCTTTCTCCTGCTGCAGATGGGAACAAATACAGAGACCCACAACCAGGCATTCAGCAAAGAGAGAGACCTTGAAACACACAGCTCTAAAGGGGATGTCTCCATCAAACCCCTTCCCTTAGAGCTCAGGGAACCCCGAAGAAAGAAGGAGGAGGAGGAGGAGGAGGAGGAAGAGGGGGAGAAGGATGAGGAGGAGGAGGAGGAGGAGGAGGGGGAGAAGGAGGAGGAGGAGAGTATATGAGCCAGAAGGGGAACCAGGACACCAGGAGAGCAAGGCCCTCTAAATCAACTGAGCAAATGCCATATGAACTCAGAGACTGAAGCAGCAAGCATGAGGATGACACAAGTTTGCTCCAGGGTCTCTGAATATATATTACAGCTTCCAGTTTGTTTTTATTTTTTAAAATGGGATTCCTTTGTATGTGAACGAGTGGGTCTCTGATTCCTGTGCCTTCTCTTAGGGCTCTTTTCCTTCTGTTGGTTTGCCTTGTCCAACTTCAATGTGAGGGTTTTTGTTTTATATTTGGTCCTTTTGGCTGTTGTATCTAAAAAGCCTATTCTTTTCTAATGAGAGACAGGAAGGGGTGGATCCAGATGGGGGAGGTGAGGAGGAACTGGAAGGAGTGAAGGAAACTGTAATCAGGATATTTAAAAAAAATAAATAAAAACCACTAGCAACATAGAGTATAACAAAGATCATAAAGTATGTATGTCCCCTACAGCCACCATGCAGGATGTAATGGGCTCCTACTGAGTAAGTTCCTTGTAATCAGACTCATGCTTTATACAGTGCCCTTCTCATGCAGTTTCTGAAGCATGGAAAATGTTAAAATCCAATTTCCAGGCAATTCCCATAAAGACTGTATGATAAATGAAGAGCTGTCCCAGACCAGGCTGGCCTAGAACTCACAGAGATCCTTTTGCCTCTGCCTCGTGTGCTGGGATTAAAGGCCTGTGCCACCATGCCCAGAGATAAATTAAGATTTAACCATGTTGTTGATTGTTTCACTTGCTTCATGCCACATCTGGACACCTTCTTGTAGCCTCTTCTTTTGGGAAGAATGAGTCATCTTACAGAAAGTACTAGAGATGGTTGATATGACAAAACCAGGCATCTTAGGTTACTCCATCTCACATATACAGAGGATGAAATATCAGAACTGGAGGTAGGCTCTGGATTTTCCTGACAACAGCATTAGAAATGGAAATTTTACCAAGATATGTCGGGTTCAGATTTTCAACAGAGTTCAAAACTAGAATGCGAGAAATTATGCCCCACAATAATCAGACATATAGACTAAAAGAGTTTATTAAATAACATATGGCAAGTTTATAACAGACATTTCCAGAATGTTCACATAGGTTCCCAAAGCTATGTTTTCTATAAACATTTATTCATCCCCAAACATGAAACTCTGTGGGGAGGCTTCTGTGGTGGTTTGAAAGAAAATGGCCCCCAAAGGGAGTGGCACTATTAGGAGGTGTGTCCTTGTTGAAGTAGGCATGGCCTTGTTGGAGGAAGCATGTCACTGTGGGGGCGGGCTTTGAAGTCTTTTGCGTAAGCTTCATTCAGAGTGCCATTCAGTCTACTTCCTGTTGTCTGCATATCCACAAGTAGCAGCTCCTTCTCCAGCACCATGTCTGCCTGCCATGCCCCCTGCCATGAAGATAATGGACTAAACCTCTGAAACTGTAAGCCACCATGTCAATTAAATGTTGCCGTGGTCATAGTTTCTATTCACAGCAATAGAAACTCTTAAGACAACTTCTTTACTTCATTTGGCAGAATCTATTTTTTTTCCTCTCTGCATGGGCCACTCAAGAGAAGAATGTCAGTCCTTGGAAAAGATTGCTTAGCTTTATGAATACTCAGGTTTCTGAGGGTGCCTATCATGAAGAAGCTATTTGGAAGGCTGACCTTGTCTACTTCCTTCACATTAAGGATGTGACAGTGTAGTTCAGAAGTCCCTCCCACACGTGTAAAAAAACAACTATCAGAATATTTTGTATCAAAATCAGTGTGCTCTGTTGCCAAGAGTCAACAACCCTAATGGAAGATATTCGCCATCAATAATGCCCATGATTTCACCTTGTGACAGTTTTGCAAGACAACCCTGTGGGCTGGCATTCCGTTTCGGGTCACCAGGTTTCGGCAATCTCTGTGAGAACCTGAAGCAGTTCGGCAAACGTTGGGCGACCTTTGGGGTTCTGGAAAAGAGAAAGAGTTGGTCAGCTCAGCGTGCTTCTCACTCAGACACCACCTGTGGAACTTACAGGCAGAGACCTCAACCTATGCTGGTTCTGCACAATCTAAGAACAGCGTGTCTCGGCTGACACATGGTGGCATGATTTGTATGTGAGCGAGGCACTGGTGAATGTGGAAGAGTATAAAGCGCTGCACAGATATAATGACTAGAGTTGCACGCACTAGTTTCGTGTGGCTGTGTAAATAAATTAAAAATGAGTATTTCACCTTGGATCTTCAATCATACTAGCTACTTTTCAAATACTCTGTAGCCAAAAGGTGCTACCATTTGGATAGAGCACACCTAGAATATTTCTACCAGGACAGAAATTTCTTCTGGAAAATGATGGGGTTTTAGAGTGTGAGGTCCACAATTCAGTATCAGTTGCTTACTGTATTGGTCCCCTCTAGCAGGAAGGATTTCACATAGAAAGCAAAAGACACATCTCCTGGAAAGATTTCATAGATCCTGGAGCACAGTAAACCAAACCTGTGCAAGCAAGACATCAGAACATCTTTCCCTGTTTTACATTTCAATGTGGTTTGGCTGTCTCCCTGAGGAAAAGATGTTGTGGAATATTTAACTATGTAAAGATGTGTTATATTTGTTTCCAACACTGTGGAATATTACTTTGACTGTGTAAAGGTGTGTTACTTTTGTTTATGCTGCATTTACTTAATAATGTGAGGCTGTGTGTTTAATTATGTAAAGATGTGTTGCCTCTGTTTCACCTTGCCTACCTAAGACACCTGGTTGAGCTGAACTTTCAATAGCTAGGCAGAGAAAGGATAGGTGGGGCTGGCAGGCAGGAGAATAAGTAGAGGGAGAAATCTATGCTGGAAAGAGAAGAAGAGAAGAAGAAGAGAATGAGGGAGAAAGAGAGGGACACACCCGGGGCAAGAAGCCAGGCAGCCATCAGCCAGCCAGACACGAGAAGCAGTGAAAGTAAGATATGCAGAAGGAAAGGAAAGTAAAAAGCCCTGAGGCCAAAGGCAGATAAAGAGAAACAGGGTAAGTTATAAAAGAGCTAGAAAGAAATAAGCCTAAGTTAGGCTGAGCATTTATAACTAATAAGAAGTCTCTATGCCATGATTTGGGAGCTGGTTGGTGGCCCAAAAGAAAAAGGCTGGTACAAAATGACACGGCACTGGTGGCATCTTTGGAATCTTTAGGAGTTAGAACTACTCACAGCAAGGGAATGAAAAGGGGGACAGTTGGAAGACATTGTGAGCACCTGCCACAATCCTTGATGAGGACCCAAGAAGAAATCACTGTGCCTTTCTGGAGGGTTCAGGTTTAGCAGGTGGAATCTCTGGCATGTTTATCAATGGTAACATTATCTTTTTTTGGAGGGGGATTAAGACAGGATTTCTCAGTGTAGCCCTGGCTGTCAGAACTAGCTCTGTAGACCAGGCTGGCCTTGAACTCACAGAGATCTACCTGCCTCTGACTCCTGAGTGCTGGGCTTAAAGGCATGCGCCACCACCACCCACCTTTTTTTAATTAATAAAGTCACTTTATTCCAATTAACTCACAATGAAAAATACCACATAGCCAGTTTAAGGAAGCCATTCAAACATTTACCTAGAGCCAAACTTTATACATATCAGTGAACTTCTATATAGTTAGAATGGTCATTCTCAAGCCTCAGGACTTTACTTAGGCTATTAGAATTTCACAATTAATTACATTTTATTCACTTACCTTACACACACACACACACACACACACACACACACACACACACACACACACAGAGAGAGAGAGAGAGAGAGAGAGAGAGAGAGAGAGAGAGAACTATGACAGAGTTGACACTAGAAAAAGTAGCTTTATATTTTAATGTGTGTGTGCATTGTTTGAGTAGATTTTCTGACTGCAAATTGAGACTAAGTTCATTTTCTTATTCCTCTGTAGTTTACCTTTTCCCTGTTTACCTTTTCTCCACTCTAGCTCATATTCACACAAATAATATACAAAATCTCAATGCTGTATGCACATGTGTATGTTTAATGCTCCTTGTCTTAGGACATGGTCGACACCCAATAAACCCACTCCAAGTTGAAAATGCCATAAGCTAAAGATGCATTTTATGCAAGTACCCTGCCAGGAATCACAACTTAGCAATAGTCTACAGTGATCATTTGTTCATTCTTGTGATCTGTGGCTGTCTGGGAGATGTGTCCCTTCCCAGCATTCCAATAGAGACTCGTATTTTATATTCTTCACCAAGGAAAAGATCAACATTCAATGCTCAAAATATGTCATTATAAAGTTGGAAAATCTAAGTCAAAGCCACCATAGCCACCATCTGCCTGTTCCTAATCTATTTGCATTGTGATGGCAAAGACATTCATTCCTGAGGCAGCTGTTGCTACTAACAGTTTAGTTAACAATCTTCTGTCTTTCAAGATTCCTTGTGGGCAATTAATCATGGCTATTTCCATACACTGGGGATGTTCCTAAGTGAAATACTTCTCTGGAATATGAACAACCCCACCACTCTTGAAATACTGGCTTTTCTAGTGTTTGTGGATTGGGAATAAAATGATGGGTTGTTGTTTGTTGTTATTCCTTGTCTTTCAGGCATCAGGAGCCCCTCTCCCCAAGCTGTGATTTTTCTGGGCTGAGCCTGCTAACTACAGAGCAGAGCTCTGGAAAATCACAGTCTGATGAGAGCAGGAGGGCTGTGTTGAATAGATGCCCAGAAAGGGAGAGAAGGGGACAGAAACCCACCCTTCTGGCTTGATATTTTAATCTTGGCATTTCAACAAAAGCAGCAACTCCAAAGAGATGATTTCCCAAATGGTAGTTCCCAGCACAGTCTGCCTACGGTTTCTATTCTGATTTAGTCTCTTTATCAGGAGTCTTAAAGTGTCAGAGAGAGATGAAACACATTACTTTTTAGCCTTGAAAGTGAAGGCAAGTGAAAGCCAAGAGAAATGAATAAAACAGCTTCCTTCATTTTCTGTGGGGAAAGTTCAACAAACCAGAGTCTGTGTGAGTCCACCACCTAGTTCTTCAAGATGATAAATTATTGAATCCAGAGGCTTTAGAAACATCCAGTTTCTTCAAGAACCGATCTCAGCCTGATAAGACTAGGAAACTGAGCTCCTGAATGAAAAGCCCATTATGAAAAACAAAAAGGACTCGTGACTCTGGGGTGGGAGTTTCATTAGAAATGTTGCCCTGCCTCTCAGGGAGGGCCATTACCAAGGAACAAGCAATTCTGGCTGCCATGATGCAGTCTCAGTAATAAGGGACACCTACCTCATGCCAGCAACTGTACATAACGCCATATATGGACATGGGGGCCAGGTGAGGGCGATACAGGCGGAACCCATTAGAAATGGCTTCCACCACTTGCAGGTTGGACTTATTTTCAAAAGGCATTTTTCCTTCTGTAAAAACTTCCCACATTAGAACTCCTGCAAAGAAAACATGCAAAAACTGGAGTCACTTGGAACCAAAACAACGGTTGGATTCAAATTGCAAGATGTTAATCTGCTCCAGCCTGAGAGTCATAATTGCCCAGAAAAATGCAGTTCTATGTGGTTGCACACCCCTGAGTATTTAATAGGTCTGTACCTTGAAAATAATCCCTAAGAAAAACAATGCCTCCTTGCCTTTTGTTTTGGTCGCGGCATCTCCTATGGTGCACATTGTGGCAGCATTTTCATTGCTAAGTGCTGCTCCTGTTCCCTCCTCCTCCTGTCCCCACCCCCTCAAATCAATAGATCTGGCTGCTCTTCCATAGACAATGACATATTTGTGGGCCTCTTCTGCCTGCTGCTGCCAGCAGTCCCCCCCCCAACCCCACAGCCAGCAGATGGTGCACATCTGCCTCTGTCCATGAAGAGTCTAAACTGACAGGAAGGCCCTACAGAATGCCGCAAAGGCTGGGATGATACAGCTCAGTTGGTAAAGTTTTTGCTTATAAACAAGAAGACCTGAGGTTGATACCCAGAACCCATGTGAAAATGCCTGGCGCCCCTGAGAGATGCTGTAGTGGTTAAAAGTACTAATGCTTCTCTTGCATGGAACCCATTTGGGTCCCAGCACCCACTGCAGCAGTCCACAGCGGCCAGTTACTCCAGCTCCAGGAGATCCAGGCCTCTGGTCTCTGTGCACACATACACTCATGTGCACATACCCATACACATAACTAAAAATAATAAAAATAAATCTGTTTTCAAATGTCTGGCCTGGTGATGTACTCTTGTCATCCAAGTCTGGGGGTGGGGGTGGGGGTGGGAGAGAAGGGTAGAAACAAGCAGATTCCAGGGGCTCACTGACCACCAGTCTAGTCTAATTAGTGAGCTCCAAGCCAATGTGAGGCCGTCTCAAAGGAGGTGGATGGCATTCTGTTTTTAAAAAATAATTTATTTAACTTTGTTTTATGTGCATTGGTGTGAAGTTGTAGGATCCCCAGAACTGGAGTTACAGACAGTTGTGAGCTGCCATGTGGGTGCTGGGTATTGAAGCGGGGTCCTCTGGAAGAGTAGCCAGTGCTCTTAATGGCTGAGCCATCTCCCCAGCTCCGGTAGATGCCATTCTTGAAAATGATACTCAGGATTGTCCCCTGGCCTCCACAGTGTGTGTGTGTGTGTGTGTGTGTGTGTGTGTGTAAAACAAAAAAAAAGAAGCTCACTAGCTCACTAGTTCATTATCCAGGGAGAAGGAAATGTGAGCCTGAGTGAGTTCCAATTGCTCTGCAGCCACTGGAGGAGATTCCTTGTTTTACTATCCACCAGGTCCCTAAAATACACTCACACAGTCCCTCCCCAACAAAGTTCAAACCCTTGCTTGCTGGGAGATCAAGCCAGTAGAGAGTTAACATGGTCAATGATGCAAGCTTAATCTTATCATGCAGAATATTCTCACAGACTTGTAAGGACAAGGACATCTCTCAGGCCCATGCACTTGTGAAGACAAGGGCATCTCTCAGACTCACACACTTGTGAGGACAAGGACATCCCTCTAAACCTCACAGCCACCCAGGAAGACCTAGATGAAAGCTAAGATTTGTGCTCATCAGTTGCCATGGTTGGAAAATCGACTCACAGGAACAAGCCGCATTGGGCACAGATCTCCAGTGTCTCTATCTCGGTGGAGAATGTTAGTCAATATGAACATCAATAGACAGAACCCAAGCAGCCAAGGTGCAAATCCCATAAACCTTGACAGTATAAAGTGAAGGTAGTAAGCTGTTGTTTTTCTTAGATCTAGATGTTAAGCTCAAATTGTCAAGTTGGGAAACAATCAAGCCACTGAATAAACAATGGAGCTTATTAAGCACACTGGAAACTCGGTGATGACGTAGATCGTTTCCTTCAAACCTCTGTGATAATGGGAGCATTGGCTGCATTTAGGTCAGCAGATTCCTTGCTATAGCTTCGTGGCACCCGCTCTCTAGGGTAGGAGAGATCCTGAGAATAGAGCAGTGTGAGGGGGTGCATGAATCCAGTTGCCAAAGAAGTTACAAAGAGGCTTTTAGGTTTATTTATTTATCATCTATACAGTGTTCTGCCTGCATGTGTGCCTGCACTCTAGAAGAGGGCATCAGATCTCATTATAGATGGTTGTGAGCCACTGAGTGGTTGCTAGGAATTGAACTCAGAACCTCAGGAAGGGCGGCCAGTGTTCTTAACCTCTGAGCCATCTCTCCAACCTACAAGAAGGCTTTTAAAGACTGCTACATCATGTGAAACAAGCACACAAGCAAGAGTTGAAAAGGCAACCTCTGTATTAAATCCAGCAATAACAAACATACTCACCAAATGACCAGACATCAGATTTGCTACTGTACTTGTTAAAATGAAATACTTCAGGTGGGGACCACTTGACTGGGAACTTAGCTCCCGAGGAACTGATGTATTCATCATCCAAAACGTACCTGCCATCGTGGGATTCAAGCACACTGTATTAATGTCCACCGAGGTCTAATTACTTCAAATACTTCTGTCTGCTCTGACCTGCTGAAACCCAGTGTTTTCCCCTAGAAAAGGCTGTGCACCATGTCATCCTGACGGCGGGCAATGAAGTCTCCCTTTATTTGTTTTCCTCCTCTAGAACCATGTCTCCTTGATTTCATTTTCATTGAATCTCTGAAAACTACAGCTCTATAGTCCCAAAACTTGGGAAGCACTTATGTTCATTAAGGTCCAGTCTTAATTCTGCAAAGAAACAGGCCTGTGCTCTAGCAACGAGGGTAGAGAAAAGGAAACAAATGGTAAGGGACAGGCCACTCATATCATGAAAGATGGACTCAAAGTTGAATGCCATATTTTCTTTCATGTACTTATTTTTGTATGTGTGTGGCACAAAAATGGAGAAAATAACAGTGTGACACCATAATACTTCTGATGTGAAAAATACTCAGTATATTATAATGTATATTTTGTACCAATTAGGAATAACCAAAACCCTCTCTCTTTTTGAAGACTCATACACAGGAACGTCAAAGGCATGGGACCCTAAAGAGAAGAGGAGCTGACTCTGGCCCCTTGTGTATACAGTATAATATCTTAGAATTACTTATTATTACTGCTTTCATGCTCCCACTTCTGCCCATATATTCCATGTCATTTCACCTTAAATCCTCCTCTGCTGAGACTGCATAAAATGAGGCTAGAGAGAAGCTCAGTGGTTAAAAGCTCTGCTGCTCTCCCAGAGGACCCAGGGTAAGTTCCCAGCACCCACATGATGGCTCACAACTGTCTGCAACTCCAGTTTCAGGGAATCTGGTGCCATCTTCTGACCTCTGCAGGCATTGCATGCATGTGGCACACAGACATACAGGCAAAGCACACACTCACAGACAAAATAAAAATGAAGTCTGAAAAAAATTTTAAAAAAAGACTGTAAAGCTGGGTGATCTTTAATTTCAACACTTGAGGGGCAGAAATGGGGTCTCTATGAGTTTGATCCCTGAGTTTGAATTCATAGGGTAGAAGGAAAGAACTGATTCCCACAAATTGTCCTGACCTCCACACACACACACACACACACACACACACACACACACACTAAATGTTTGGATTTTTTTAATGTAAGCCTCCCTCTTACAAGTGGGCAAAGTAGACAGAGATGCCACATACCTTGTCATCCCAAAGTCCGAGATCTTTACCACACAAGTAGAGCTGACCAAACAGTTCCGTGCTGCCTGGAGAAAGAAGTGAAGCATCGAAGTTGAACCATGCTCTTTCTTTGGAAGACTTCCACATTCATTTCCTTACTTTATTTTGGCTCCACAGTACCTCTCTGCATGAGCAGCCACATGAATTTCAAGGTGACACCCCTTACTGATGTACATAACTCTACTTGAATGCCATAAATTTTAATGATTCTTCAACATCATAAAAAGTTAAGATTGAATGTTCACCATTTTTAAATGTTCATCCTTTTCAACAAGTATCCTTGATAAAATATGGGGGTTAGTTTAAGCTAACAGATGATAAACTAAGAACTTGGCATAAAACGTTTTAACTTTTACTTGTTTACTTAAGTGATGAAAAGCTAGCTTATTTGTGCTGGGTACCGGGGAATGGCTGAACAGTGATCAGCTTCTATGGTGGCAACATCACTGCCGAGCCCTGGAGAGACAGGCCCTGCTTTGTGTGCTTGTGCCGGCTGATTCATGTAGTCATCCCGGCAAAGCCACATAAAGGAGGTGACCTATAGAGAACCCATCTCCTACTTAACTAGCTCTCTCGGGATTACAAAGCTAGCTGACAAAGGAAGAGAGCCTCCAAGCCAGGCTGGGGTGGCTCACAAGCTCAAGTGCATATTGATGATTCCATTTCAATCTCAGAGATCCTGATTTGGCTGGCCTGGCTGGGTTTTGAAGAGTTTTTCTCAAAGCTCTCAAGTGATTCACACACACACAGCAAAGTTGAAGTGTAGGAACCTTTCCCCTATAAGCTATGTTCTTAAAACCATGCCACATCTTGGCAGTTGAGGCTTGGATCTCAGGATGTTCAAGGTGCAGTATTCTTGTAGAAATGTAAGTAACTGAAGCTACTCCAATAAAGTCTCACCAATGTGACTGCCCAAATGTGATGCCCACCAGTGTGACTGCCCAAATGACACCAATGGATGCCAAAGTGGATGGCGGAAAGCCCATGAGTCCACAACCCTCTACACACAAAGAACTGTAGGCAACTGAGAAAAGGATAGAGAGAGGTGGTCTTTCCCAGAGAAAAATGCTCTGATTGGCTATTCAGTGCCAAATGGTCATCTTTAAAAATATGCAAACAAGCAACATTATTGTTATGCAACAGTTTCCTCCAAGATTGAAATATTCTATCCTGCAGGGAGTTCCTTAGGCAGGAAGGTAAACAACTCAAAATAGCTTCAGGAAGTCCCTGAAACTGACCAGATTCAGTTGGCCCCTCCCTGCTAGAGTGAAAAATTAAAGCTGAGGATCGCTCTGAGTCAAAGCTGGGCTGCAAAAAAGACTCTCAGAGGAGAAAGACTGCAAAGAAGACTCTGAGACTAGACCAGTTGCCTGGAAGAAGCAGAAACCAGCCAAGCCACCTAGAAAAGATTTAGACCAAAGTCACTTGGAAAGGACACACTCCAATCTGTTGAGCTGCCTGCGGGCTGTATAGTGTGCTCCAGGTTCCCAGCTTTGTGAGTTGTCGTCCATGCTAGGATAGGCCTTGTTGATACAGCCCTCTTTGAGTCATTTCCGTTCCTTTAAGTAACCCATCACCCACTTCCCTATAAGTAACCCCCCAAAAACTCATTGGTTCACCAGGTTGGAATCTGGTGGTATCCAAACTTTGGTCTGTCATGAGTTCTGTCTGGAGTGAGTAGACACATGTGTAGCATCTCCCCAGGAAAAGTTTTGTCACACAACAATTATATGGACTGAGCTGATTATATCTACATGTGTATATGTATGCATGCAATAGCAATTAATGAAAAAAATAACCATTACTTGAGGGAGAGCAGAGAGTGGGAGGGCTTGGAGGGAGGAAAGGGAATGGAAAAATTCCGTAGTTACACTATAATCTCAACATAAAAAAAAATCAAAAGAAATATAAGTAGCTAGTGCATAACAGTGTAAATAACAAATGCCATGAGTGTTCTGAATTGAAAGCTTATCTTGCCTTTTCCTGTGGTGTTCTGGAATTAGTGTAACTACACCTACAGCCCCACCCCTAGATCCTCCTGTCTCAAGGATGAGTGCTTTAATAAAATCAGTCTGGGAGTGAGAGCCCAAAGCACAGGGTTATTTCCAAGAGACCGCATCAGGAATTTACATATAATTCTCAAACTCTCCTTGGAGTTAAATTTTATATTTCTAAATGAAACACAGAAGGACAAGGAGAGAATAGTGTAAGTACCCTGAAGCAATGTGCAGTGGGCTGGACATGTTTCTCAGGTGCAGAAGTGAGGACATGGAGCAGGCAATTTGCATTTAGTCTGGGGTAAGAGAGTCCTTCTAAGTAAGCATGCTCTCAGCATTACCCAGCAGAATGACTGGGCATTTCTAGTCTCCATCATAAATGCCTACCGTACTCCTGCAGTACTGTCACAAGCAAGCCACCTGTACCTGGGGCACCTTCATCCCTGAGTAAGATTCACAGGGACCATTTCTTCCCAGCTGTGCCTCCAGGGTCTAGATTGCTCAGCACATATGAGACACTTGAGACAAGTGTGACTACTGGAGTTTGACATTGGTTGAAAGGAAGAATGGTGAAAGGAATGAAAAAAGAAGGGAATGAGGAAGAGAAATGAGGAAAAGATCATTGTAGTTAATGGCTTCATTATGTAGTTAATTAGTGAAAGGCATTTTGGAGTAATTTCTTACTTGGTTACACATTAATGGGCAATTAAAAATAAAACTACAGGTTGAAGGATGTGACTCAGTGATAGAGCACAGGCTTAGCATATGCCAGGCCTTGGTTTTAATCCCCAGCACTGCAAAATAAATAAGAAAATCAATTAACCTTTCCCAATAACATGCATGAAGTAAAAAAAAAAAAATGTTCTAAAATGAAGCCAACGGTACATTCTTCCAAGTACTAAGAGAGATCCCGGTGTCCTTCTGAATCCAAGTACATGGCGTAAGGTGACTCACCAGATCCCTGTGAATATAGCAGTTCTTCTCCAGGTACTCCATCCCTTCACATATGTCCTGGCACACACTCAGGAGCAATGGCTTCGGAAGCTTGCCTTTTCTCTCCCGAAGGTAGTTAAGCAGGCAGCCATTTTCCATGAACTCTGTCACTATGTAGAGGGGCTTGTGTTGTATACACACCCCATAAAGCTGAACTAGCCTCGAATGTGACAATTTCCTAAAGAAGAAAAACATGCCAGTGACCTGGAATCTCTTGCATTCTGAACAGTAATATGTCATTTCTATATCCGAGATAAGATCAGCATCAAGCCTGCCACCAGGAAGGCACTGCTTTTTCTTTCCACTTTATGCACTGAAAACACAAGCTTAGGAGTTTGTGCAGCGCTTCCAAAGCCATCGCTATAAAATACTACATGCCCCATATCCAACTTGCAGCACCTTCCTTTTCTTCCAGGCGTGTCATCGTTTGCATCCTCACTATTGATTTTTCCCAGCCCAGGTTCTCAAGACTTTGAATCCTAGTCATCTTAACTATAGCCATTAGATGGAAAATTCCAGGCAGGCAGTGGGGAAGAAAGAATGATTGATGGTCATGGAACAGAAAATGGATTTCTAAACAGTAGAGCTATTTAAAAGTACATATTTAGATACAGCTGGAGACTAAAATTGATCTGCCAGCATGAAACCATGTATTGTGAATTTGGTGATCACACCGAGTTTAAGTTTCCCACTGAAATATACTAATAATTTTTTAAAAGAGTTATTTAGTTTTTTTTTATGTGTATAGGTATTTTGTCTGCACATATAGGTATGTGCACCATGTGAATGCAGCCCCCACAGAGGGCAGAAGAGGGCTTCAGATCTGTGGAACCAGAGTTAACAAATAGTTGTGGCTCCTGGGGACTCTGCAAGAGCAGCTGATACCCATGACAGCTAAGCCCTCTCCTCAGCCCCATTACTTACATTTTTTAAAAAAGCAATCTAGGCTTCAGACATTTATTGGGTTCCTTCTCCCCCAATCTGTGAAATATATCATTCAATGTCTAAATGCCTCTTACGTCAATTGGGGTCACCATGAAAAAGAAAACCAATTAATATTTACAGTTTTAAAAGATGTATCATGTATCAGCAATTCTGTTGGCCAGAAATACTATGAAATGTGTTTTTCTTTGTTTGTGTGTGTGTGTGTGTGTGTGTGTGTGTGTGTGTGTGTGTGTGTGTGTGTGTGTGATGATATGGGTATATATTAGACACACTTCATCTGATTTCTTTCAAGTCCATAAAGCATACTTTCAGTTATGAATGTGCTTTTCATGCATGCAGAATAATGTCAGGAAAGCAAGTCTCAGAATGACACACTTCCATGCCATGAGAAACCCAAGACCAGGGATACGCAGAACCATTTGAGAACTGAAACATGAGCAGGTGTTTGCTTATGAGGGCAACTGGCAACATGTATCTGAAATAAGGCACATATCTATTAGAAAAAAGCAAAAACAAGTAAGTAAACCTTCGCATATGGTTCAGTTGAACAAACAGAACAAAACCTTCCCACAGGTAGGGAACTCTGCAAGTAGAAATGTGTGCTCCTGCTTCCTGTAATGCTAGTTCCTCTACACACATCTTTCCCCAGTTAGAGAAGTGTCGTAACTCACTGCAGGACAATTGGGAGATGTATTTAAATTTTTTAAAGTATTTTTCTACAACCTTCTCCTGTTATCCTTTCCTAACTCCTCCTGTTCCCTTGGCAACAGATCAAGTTTCATGGTTCTCAATGTCATCTCTGGGGACCATTCTCAACTTCATGTCCCCCAGCTTGACCTTTCTCCTGAACTCCAGCCTTGTGCATTTACCTGACTATTTAGTCATCAATTATCTTCTAATAGTCTTCTCAAATTCAACACCACACACACACACACACAGAGAGAGAGAGAGAGAGGGAGAGAGATACACACATACAGACACACACATATAGACACACACACATACTCACACACATACAGACACACACAGAGATACACACATACACTCACACACACATACAGATACATACATACAGATACACACACATTATAGACACACACACACATACAGACACACACACACACATACAGTCACACCCACACACACATACACACAGGCATGCACACACACACACACACACACACACACACACACACACACACCTGGAGCTCCCTGCACAGCTTTTAGTCCAACTCCACTTGAGAAAATTCTCTTCCTGGCATTTTCTTCTTGTTTTTGTAGCCTGTGGTGGGGCTTGTGACTCTTATAGATTCCAGGACTCCCAACTCCTATATCATGTAAGTTTTATCAGCTTCCTGAGTCTTTTGAGCGTGAGGGGGTTGGGGGGG